AGACAAATCAACAAATCGACCTCAAAATTCCAAAAGAAACACCTCAACACACTCACAGAGAGCTTTCCTTTTACTGAGAAACTTCCTCTTGTCTTCTCTCCTCGCCCTCTTTCTCTCCTGTCACGAATCGCACACCACACCACCAGGAGAATTTCTTCCTTCTCTCGAATCCTTCCTTTCTCCAATCAGCTGTGTTAAAGATGCCTTCCACGGAAATTATCAACACGCTTTTCACGCCCACGCCGACCGCGGAGCAAATTACTGACCACCTTGCCGCCACACAATTGACCGTCCCGACCGCACCCTCGGTGGCCCCCTCCCTTACCTACTCTGACGAGTCGGACGACCAAGACGACGATGTGCCCCACCCTCGACGCCGAAGGGCCTCGACCCGCCTAATTTCAAGTAGCGCCGCTGATGTTCAGCGAATTACTGGCGAGACCACCGCCGAAATCATTACCAGGTGCTGTGGGGGTGGTTGTTGCCTCAACCTGAACTCGCGACGGGACGACCTCGAATATGAGCGCATCGAATTGCCCGATAACGATGCCTTCCGATCCTTGAACCTCAGGGTTGATGGCGTCATTCCCACCACTCTGTCTAACGTCGCCGAGCTACCTGAGCAGACTGTCTTCATTGAGCCCCTCAAGGCCACGTCCCGACCCGCCAAGGAAGTCGCGACCCCCGCATCCCCAGTGGAGTCGACGGCTTCTCTACTCTCCAACGCCAGCTCCATCCCTAGTGAGGAGGAGAGCAAGGACAAGGCTGAGGAGACCCCTGCCACTACAGCCCCATCCTCCCCTGCTCTCACCCCTCTCGAACTTGAGGACCTCGATACTACCATTCAACCTCCCAGCTTCGTCCAGCCCCACCCTCCTTACAACGTTTTCCCCGCGCGCATTCACAGCGCCCGCGAGTTGACCAAGCCTGGCGCCGAGAAGCGGACGTACCATTTCGATCTCGATGTGACCGACTATCCTCCCGAGACTGGCATCGACTTCAAGGTTGGCGGCGCTATCGGCGTCATGGCTCCCAACGACACGTCAATCGTCGACCAGGTTCTCGATTGTCTTCTAATTCCTCGATTCCAACGAGACAAGCCCATTCTCTTGAAGACTACTACGGGAAGGTGGCCCACCGTTTGGGGTGATGAGCAGGCGCGTGAGCTCGTTACCACGCGACGCGACCTCCTCACCTGGTGCGTGGATATCCAATCGTACCCGCCCAACAAGCGCCTCTTGCGCCTTCTCGCCGAGCACGCCGATGACGACAACGAGCGCAAGCTTCTCTTGTTCCTCTGCTCCGCCGAGGGCCAGTCCGTGTTCTGCGACTTCCGAACCGGACCCCACATTTCCGTCACGCAAATTCTTAACGCCTTCCCCAGCTCGCACCCTCCTCTTGATGCCTTCCTATCTGTTCTCCAACAGCTCATGCCCCGATTCTACTCGCTCTCCAACGACCCCCATAAATCCTTCATCACCAAGGACGGCGAAGCCCAGCCGCGCCGTGTTGTCGAGATTGCCGTCACGGTTCATGAGACCGATGACTGGAAGCTTGGCAGGCGCACCGGCGTAGGATCCGGCTTCTTCGAACGCCAGGCTAAGAAGTTCATTAAGGCGCAAGCCTCAGGAATTGCCTCGCCCGAGATTTACATCCCCATGTTCAAGGGTCTGATGGCCAATCCCCTCGCTACCCAGTTCGTCGCCGACGGGCCCATGCTCCTCATCGGTGCCGGTGTCGGTATCGCGCCCTTCCGCGGCTTCGTGCAGAGGCGTCTCAAGACGGCCAACTGTGCCAACAAGGTCTGGGTCATCCAGGGCATTCGCGACTCGCTCGTCGATGAGATTTACAGCGGCGAGTGGGGCATCCACGAGGACGAGGTCAAGAAGATTGTGGAGAGCCGACGTGGCGAGGGCCGTTACGTCCAGGAGGAAGTGAGGCACCAGGCCGATCTCGTTTGGAAAGTTATCAACTCAGTCGATGGTAGAGTCTTCGTCTGTGGCAGTTCCAAGGGGATGGGCGAGGGTGTTGAGGAGGCGCTTCTTGATGTCGCCATGCAGAAGGGTAACCTCGAGCGAGAGGAGGCCCGGAAGTTCTGGGGATTGAAGAAGGAGGCGGGCCAGTACATTGCCGAGACGTGGTAAATTCGACACCGACTATACCCTTCCCTTCCCTCTCAACCCAAACAAGCAAACCACACCCACCCTCCGCTCGAGGAGGCGTCGCATTTCCTTCTCCACCATTGATTGACTTCGGTGGGCAGTTCATTACCGGGCATCTTTGTCCAAGGAAAAAAATGTTTCTTAATGCCTTTCTAATCAAAACTTTACACGGGCATCGAGGATAGACAAAATTGGAAGAGGCGGCATAATTGGCGCAAGAAGCATTTCTTCTGTCCTAATTTATTTCCTTTCTTTTTTCCATCCGTACCAGAAGAGTGGCTACTGAAGGCGCGACGGGACGGAGCTTACCCCGAAGCGAGGAAGTAACGGGAGCAATTCAAAGCCGAAGGCACGGTTTGGGACGAAATCCTAGAGGTGCATTGCGGCGCATTGAAACTCGTTTTCTACCGCTCTTTCGTTTTCCCTTTTTCTCTTTCTTTATACTATATTAACACTTACGCTTTTTTTTTTTTTTTTCGTCATGCAGAGCGGTCTACTTTGTTTTCCCGAAATTCATAGCCGCTGCATTTTCCGGAGTTTCGGGGTTTCATGGGAATATCAAACAATGGCATCGAAAGGTTTGGGGATGGACGAGAGAAGGAAGATGACCTCTTTTTCTTCTCGATGTTTTCCCTCGAGCTGCTCTTATGAGAGGTACACGTTTTTTTCTCCTTATGTTTTTTATGGCATTGGCGTGATGGGATGGCTTATACACCAGATGGAAGCCTTTACAGAGATACACAGATTTCTTTTTTCAAAAATTCATTGAGCAATCAACATTCCGTCCTTGATCATAATTCATGTTCGTATTCCCCTTCCTCATCCTTTGCTAAGATCTCGTTGAAGTTGCCGTGGTATGTTTCGTAGGGAGGGTGTACATCGTAGATTCTCGACGCCTGATAAGCCGATATCGAATGTCGTCTGACAGCGCAGATGAGGCTCTGCTTCTGGAAGGGACATGGGTTGCATCCGACATGGCGGGGTAGCTTCGGATATCAATTTTGTTTGGGAGGGGCAAGTCAGCACGTCAACCCCCGGCAAATCGAATGCTGTGGTCTGGCTGCAGGTGAGAAGCCTATTTTACATCATAAGAAGGAAGAACTCGATGCAGAAGGTGTCATTTCGGACTCTGTCCTTGAAATTCAACCTCCGTAATTGTTGCTCTATTATATGGATATTTGAATAAGAGGTACGAAGTAGTTTGGGAGAATCTATACTAGACTATGAGCCGGCATTGTTCCCGGATTCACCTGGACATTGTGGGGTTTGTTTGTCAATGGAGGATTGTGCAACGTCGGAGATAGTGTCGTGTATGGTGGGGACCAGGACGGCCGGCGGGCCTGTACTCCTTCGTGGTTTGGCAGTCTGGACTCAGAAGGGGGTCGAGAACATCAACATCCTTAGAATGATGCCATTCCCATCCGGGGTTGATACCTCCTCACCCCCAGAGACACGCACTTGCGCAAAATCACTTCTTCGTTGAGACTTGTTCCACCTAACTGGCGGACACCACCACCCTTCCTCGCCTCCTTCCCTCCCAACTTTGGATGCTGGAATCCAGGTACGATTAGCCTGCACATGCATATGAACAGGAGATCCGAGCTCCAATCCACAGGAGCAGGGAGAGTGACAGACAGGACCGGGGGCGCAGGGCGGATTATAGAGCATTACGAATCGAAACATGTCATGGTGATGGACAATGCAAAACGGGAAGCACCAGGATTGACGGAAATATTCTCGAGTCGGAAGTAGCCTGTAGCTTATCGTCAATCGAACAACACCACCTCTCGATCTAGAATTCCAACTTTGGAAGGGAAACAATGAGCAAGAGCACACCACTGCCCCACCCTAGCCGATCCTCCTTCCAATTGTCGTTGAATCTCTCGATGTGTGCATTGTACCCAAGCAAACCAGGCTGACAAGTTCACCCCACCTTCCGGCCCCGCCGTTGTACCTGGATTACGGATGCTTACCCAAGCACCCGCTCCACCTTCGCACGGGATTACAAATGTCGCTGGCACTGAGAAATTGTATGATTCCAATGATTTCGCAGCCATGACAATTCGTATCTCAGCACGTCGTCTACCCCAACGCTCCTAGACGCCCCCGTCGTGTCGTCCGATGAGACAATGGAACTTACGAAGGATTATGTTTGCATCATCGACGATTATTACTGGAAATCTGGAAAATCTGGCGGGGCAGAATCGCACACCCCCGATTGCGTCTTCGTGATCGCACGCTTGCGTTTTGCCCACGCCCACCTGCCCCTCCATCATTCATCCATCCATAATCACCTTTGCCGACAGAGCCTGGACTTGACCAACCGGGCTGTTTCCGGCTGTTGCCGTGATAACATCAGATAACATTAGCAATGGTCAATCTTGTTCCTAACTAACTGAATCAACTATTACGAAGTACACTAACTCCCGAATATTTTTTTTCTTTCTCTTCTCTTTTTCCATTCTTGGTTTCCAATCCATTATGTGATGCATGCGGTGTACCTGACAAGTTAGTTCGACATTGATCCACCCCCCGTTCCTGTTGCTGTGGGTATCTTAGTCTTGGTTTCATCGGCTGCGTTGCCAAGGTGGAGAAAGCAAGGCAGGAGTGACGGAAGCGAAGAACAGATCAATTGATCCCCTTCGATAGTACTTCGTAGCTTCCGGCAATATATATGTCCCCCGTCCCCCCCCGTCTTGTTTTCTAGATCTCTTCTCTTCCGTATCAATCAATCAAACAAACCAAAAGCAAGGCATCTTCTCTGCCATCTCAGCCTCCGCGCACACTTTTTCCAGACTTACACCAAAAATCCACACTTACAAAACCCAAACTGTCAAAATGGCCGCCACCCTCCTCAAGCTCATCAAGGACCGCCGCACCTACTACCCCCTCAGCAAGGACCTCACCATCCCCGCCTCCCGCATCGAGGAGATCGTCGGCCAGCTCATCACTGACGTCCCCTCCTCCTTCAACTCCCAGTCCAACCGCGCCGTCCTCCTCCTCGGCGCCGAGCACGACAAGCTCTGGGACATCACCTCCGATGCCCTCCGCGCCGTCGTCCCCGAGGAGAACTGGAAGCCCACTGGCGACAAGCTCGCGCTCTTCAAGGGCGGTGCCGGCACCGTTCTCTTCTTCGTCGATGAGGAGCCCGTGAAGGAGTTGCAGAAGAACTTTGCGCTTTATGCTGATAAGTTCCCCGTTTGGGCTGATCAGTCTCTTGGCATGCTCGTAAGTTTTTTTTTTTTAACCCTTGTCTTTCAACACAGTAGCTTCCAACACTACAAAACAATGGAGTTGCTAACACAGATTCTTCTTTCTAGCAATTCGCTGTCTGGACCGCCCTCGAAGCCGAAGGCCTCGGCGCCAACCTCCAGCACTACAACCCCCTCCCCGACGCCAAGATCGCCGAGACCTGGAAGATCCCCGCCTCGTGGAAGCTCAACGCCCAGCTCGTCTTCGGTGGACGCACCGGCGAGGCCGGCCCCAAGGAGTCCAAGCCCGTTAGCGAGGTCTTCAAGGTCCACAGCTCTTAAGCAGCTGAAGGAAGCTTTCGATGGCTTGACTAGATCGACGATTCCTTTCTCTCTTCGTTTATGTTTATGATGCGCTGGAGTTTATAAACGTTCTTTTCTTCGTTTTGGAAAAATGCATTGGGCGGAGTCTTCTAAGACACGGACTTGAGATGGCGGGGGACTTTACATGGATGTCGATGGTGTGTTAAGCGCTTAGGGGTTGATTCCTGACTCTCCTGGTAGATAAACCTGGTTATTACAATAGAGATCATGCTTTGCACAACTACGCTTTCCAAAGATGGTGCATGCGAAGGAATCCGAATCCTGTGGTGAATTGAGAATGCTTGCTGATGTTCAAATACAACCAAAACGCCCAGTAGATGCTACAGGCATTTCTTGCCCAGACAGACATTTTACTCAAGATCAATGCCCAGTTAACCCTCTAAAGTCTTACGGATCCACTCGTCGTCTTGCAGTTCCTTAGCAGAGCTACGTTTGGCCGGATCCCACTGCAGCATCTTCTCCATCAGGCGCAAGAAACTGGCCCTCTCCTCCTGTCCTTCAAGGGTAGTTTCCCTCTGTTCAAGCGGTTTCCGATCCTCTAAGAGATTCTCGGGGTAAAAGGCACCTAGAAACCCAGAGATGGTGAGCTGCTAATGGAATGGAATTTGCCATAAGATAGAGATATTATTGGCCTACCATCATCAGAAAAGAACTTGTGGGTGAGGTTCCCTCGGGCAAGAAGACCGGGCGGAGGAGGTCCGAGCAGTTTTATCATCTCGGCCAGGTGAGCTCGGCTTCGGTAACTCTCAAATTCCGGATCGTGACCAGTGAATAAGGACTCGCCTTCAAAAATATTCCAAACCTGCGCGCAAACTTGGTTTAGTTCATAAAAGTCATGGGTTATCGACCAAACCGTCTTACCATGCATCCCACATTCCATATATCAACCTCATACGACCACGGGACCTCCAGAATGACCTCTGGGGCTCGATAGATATTAGGTTGAATATCTTCCAAGTGCTCTACACCACCAGGTATGGCCGATCCAAAGTCACAGAGAACCGGGGCACCCCATTTTTGGGGCATTCTGAGCTCCCGGGACACGTAGATTGTTCTTCCATCTACCTCTTTCCTCGGACAAGGGGTCTCAAGCTCATTCTCCATGAAGCTACTGAAGACGGAATCATCGTCGATGCCAAACATGATATTGTCCGCCTTGATGTCTGATAGATGGCGTGCGTAAGTAAATAATGGAAGGAGAAGAGGGTAAAGTTGGAGAATATAGAATATATACCGGCATGTATAACCTGGCATTCCGTATGCAGGTAGTCTAGCGCCAAAAACACGCGCTTGAGCACAAATGCTAGAACTGGAGCAGGAAGTCTCTGCACCGGGTTGCGGTACAAAAAGGTCAACACACTGTCCCATAATGGAGGATGTACGAGGCACCGATGCTTGTCCTCCGGGCCATCGACATCAAACGAGTCAAGTAGTGACCGAACGGCGCTGCGGCCTGGGTGACTTGTTGAGCCTCTCTCTATGCGTTTGTACATCTGCAGCTCATCATCCAGTTGCTGTCCCATAGATGCAGACTTGATAAAGATCTTTAGGGTAACGTAGCGACGGTAGCTATGATCAAAGGGTGAGCAGATGCGGACTTCCACGGATGGCATCGGGGATCCTTACGTCATGTCCCGCGCAAGCCACACAGTTGAGCTGGCTCCGAATCCCAGTTTTCCTATGATCTGATACTGGTCTTTGAAGATTTCTCCTATTCGAGCTGGGTAATACCGGGAAGCAACGTAATCTGGCATGGTCTCTTCTTCGATTTTCTGGCTCACTGGTATTCGGACGAAACTCGGATTGGTGAAGCCGACAGGCTTCCATGTACGCCCTAGCCGGGGCAAAGAGCGTAGAAACGACTGCAGCATCGTTTAGGATGATGGGAATGGGGCTTATCATACAAAACACCAAATAAAAGAGTAGAATGAAAGTGATCAACACCGTTTTGTTGACAAAGGGGACGGACGCGGATGATGGCCGAGAACCGAAAATCAACTTTGAGGTAAGAAATCCGCGTCACGTGATTAAGCACAGCTCGAGAAAAGGATTAGGACATGATAGTGAGGGAGCTCGAGCTCTTCCTGTAAGCGCCGATGGATCATGAGGTCTCTTTCATATTGAGGAGGATGCAGGAGGCTATTGATGGTCCGAGAATTGGCTTCTATAATTAGTGGATGTGACCGTTCGATTACCTCTGCGTGTGAATCCCACTACACACGCGCCGTTGTGGGGCAAACAGTACTCCACAGTCCACCCTTCCGTGTCGACTGCATTCACGGTTGTTTCAACGCCCATTCTAATGTAGAAATCAGTTCGATATCTAACCCTCTCCATTGAAGCTAAAGGTGTAGCACAGGTGAGAGTTAGCCGCCTGAACCCGGTGTCTCCGCCAGGCACCAATAAATTCTAGGTGGTTTGACGCCTGCAGTGTGCAGGTTATTGGCTGTGGATCGCCCATCATAGCCTCGCCTCTGTCACAACCCTGTGCACCCATGAGAATCCTACGAGGATGGTTTCTCACTCACAAGTACCTCAAGTTAGCCGCCGGCCGACGACCTCGTGTGCCATGCGGCGGCCTGATGAATGAGGGAGAGACTAGATAGAGCCATGCAATTGAAAGCATGCCCTCGATGTATAAATCCCCTCGTCTCCTCCGCAACCAGCATCCGTAGAGTATTGCAAATCACATCCCCGATTTTACCAACTTTAGCCCATCCTAAGAAGGTACCGAAGCACCCTCACTATGTCTCGAGCTTTCTCTACCGCTATTCCGAACCTTGCCAAATGGCTGGGGTACAAGAGGGAGTTGCTTCCTCCCGTGTTCGAGCGGGCCGCCGTGCGTTACGCAGAGAACGGTGCCGTGAAGGTATGTATGTTATCAGAAATGCCGAAAGGCCCCTTTACTAAACCTTACTCAGAAAGTCGGGAAAATCGAATCTATCGAGATTTTGTAAGTCACATTTTATTCTTGTTAAGATGTCTACTGACGAATGATTCTTGTAGGCATCGCAATGATGGCAGTAGCCCCGTTCACCAGTCCAGCTACAACCCGGATGATAAGGAGCTGATTCTCAGCGTCCGAATCACCCCGGCCGACGGTAGTCGGGCTCGAACTCACCACATTTACGCGGATGGTACCGGCACCATCAGGAAGGGCGACAAGCGCGAATATTCGACGTCCGCCAGGCAGGCAGCTTGAATACCGCCATCTCCATACATGAGTTTGCTGCTATCACTCCTGGCTGTTGATTGAAATGAGATCTGATATATTTCTGGCTAAGGTCGAGTCTTGGGTAGATTTAGTCTATTGTTCAATGTCCAATTCTGTTTTGCGGCGTTGGGAGGGAATGCATTGGGGGTATAAGTTGGGTCTCTTTTTGTTTTTGATAGGGGAGGTTTCATCTGCGAGAATCTTTGCGTTTGAGGCAAGACGCAGTAGAATTGTCTACTTGTCAAATTAAGAATCAGTATAGCTAGTTTTTCTCTCCTCCAAAGAAGCTTTTTTGTATCAAAGTATATATTAAGAGCTCCCTTAGATTAATTTTGTCAGGCGATTATATCCCTCGTTGATTCCATCTCCCACTTGAAACATACATGCCATCGTCTTCCTCGGAGGACGCACCCCGACGATGTAAGCCAAGAGGAAAGAGCCCCGGCCCCGCACCTTCCTCGACACCCACGCCCTCCACCACATGCTTTACTATGAGCCAACGGCAAGAACTTCCAACCGAGCAGCTCAAGTAGTGGTGACACTACGACCAGTGGCCAAGTGGTCATTGGAGCGCTCAGAAGGTTAGAAAAATGCAATTTTTCGTAGCTCGCTGGAAGCAACCGGGATTCGATCCTGGGAGCGACCCGCGAGCGAGCTTTTTGCCTTTTTTTTGTTCTTTATTCTATTCCTATCGTACCCGCCGAGAAGACAATAAATATACCTGGGTGAAACGATGGACGTATCCTCATCGTCTCGATGATGTAAATCCCTAATTTTCAATGTTTTGTTCGTAAACTCGGATCGGCTGCTCTGGGGATGTCGTCGGGATTTCCATAGAGAGTTGCCACGATCAAGAACTCGTTGCCATCCGTATAAGCTAGATTTCGAACGAAAGGTTCTATCTGAGCGAGTGGTTTGTGCTAACTGCGTAGATTATAAGTTATCTGTTGGGGTATGTTGTTGAAGTCTATATCCAATGTTGAAATTAAATCCTCGGTCGTCCTTTTTTTTGTTGTTAGACCCGCGTCGTGTAACCCAGGGCCTGGCCCATCTTAATCTTCTGGCCCTTCTCCACCTCCCAAACCCACCCGCTGCGCGTGCCATCCTCCTCCTTCTTCTCTACCGGCGCCTCAAATACAAGTACAATGGTGCTACCCAGCTGGAACCCTCCCATCTCCTCGCCTCGTCGCACGCAGTGACCGTGCAGGACAGGGCTGGCGGAGGCGTAGGTCGCCTCCGAGAAACCGAGGTAGGTTTCGCCCTTCGCCGCCGCTTCCTCGGCAGCTCGGTCGGCGGCCGTGTCCGTGGTGAGGCTGTTCGTGCGGAGCTCGCGATCAAAGTTGATCTTGATGGATCCTACGTTGGTGGCGCCGACGGGGACGTAGCTGAAGAAACCCCACCGCCAGCGTCCAAGGAGCACCACTCGCTCGTTGAGGGTAAAGAGTCCGGGAAGTGTCCTCTGCAGATAGGGCGATACGCTGTAGAGCTCACCAGCGAAATGACGGCGCCTCTCGACTACCCAGTTTGCGGGCGAGTGGAATCTGTGGTAATCTCCGGGGGCAAGATAGATGACGGCGTAGTAGAGTACGGTCTGCTTATCGGGGGAGAGCATGTCGTACCACTGAGGCTCGCCACGGGCAAGATCGGCCTCCACCGCGGCGACAGCAGATTCGGAGTCTCGCCTCACGGCCTGATCCCTGAGCGATCCCTTGCGTCCGTTCGTTGCCTGGCCAGTGAAGAGGTTGGGGAGTGTGTAGGAGATTCCGTTCAGTCTCGCGAATTCTTCGTGCTCGTTTACCAGCACCTCATCCTTCGCCATGTCGTTCGGGTCTCGAGGATCGGACGGCCAGGGCGTGATGCTGGGAGGCGGTGTGTGCTTTCCAAGGAGACCATCAATTGTGTACGTCATGCCTTTTACCTGTTCGATGTCATTGCCGTCTATCTGACCGAATTGAAGAATTCGTCCGTCCGAAGGAGAGAGTAACGCATCCGGTCGAGGGTCCAAGGGTCGTACTCCAGGTTTAAGGGTCCGGTAAAAGAATGCTGCCAAATTTTTATAGCTGCGAAGATCGGGTTCTGCTACCTCATCAAGACTGTTGAAAACGTTAGATATCACAATGTGTGTGTACAAGAAAGGAAGGAGGTCACGCGAGCGTGAAACATACTTTACGCCGAAGAAATACGAATATAGTTTAAAACCAGGAGTTCTCAGGACGGATGGAATAGTCAACTCGTTGAACCATCCCCAAAGCCTCGAAATTGCCTTCAATGGCAGAGTAGACATCACACGAACTTGCCTGCAATTGGCCTATACGTAAGAATCTGGAAAGGAAAAAAAATGTGAGGAGAGACCACCTGCAAACTTACCATGGTCCGTCGGGCCGTACCCTAGGCCGTTTCTTGGGCCGTTTTGTGCTCCTTTCCTCTTGAATCTCCGGACGTTCATTCTGCTCCTGCTGTTCGATTCTCACAGGCTCCAGATCTTTGCCAGTCGTCTTGTACGACTTGTAGAGATGTAGGAACCCAACAACGCCGATGCCAACGCTCACGGGAATGGAATACCATTGTATCTTGGAACCCTGAGGGTTCCTGGGACGCTGCCGAGACTGCTGGTGATATTCCCGGCGAGAGGCCTCGGGGACGCGTCGACGTCGGAGAGACAAACGCATCGTAGTGGTGGTGGTGGTGGAGGTGGGAAGCTGCCGGTACAAGCAGCTGGGAGCGTGTGTAGTGACAGTTCCAGGGAACAGTCCGATCACGCGGGGACCACGGGGGAGTCCCCCGGGCAGTCTAGCGGCCATGTGTGTAGGTAATGTACTGTCTCAAGGCCTGGGCCTTCGACAGGTTTCCATCAGAAGGCGGTGGGGAGGGAGATCCGTTGGAAGGGAAGACACAAAAAAAAAAGACTACCGCCGGGTCAGGGTCAGGTGTCGGTTACAATAACCGAAAGCTGCAGCTTTCACCGTTGGCGGCTGGGAGACTGGGGGGGTTTCTCTTCAATTTCCCTGCACAGGCGACGCAAAGTTCGTTGGGGATATGCACAAGATCGAAATCGGCGACGCACTTAGGGGCGTGGGATGAGCTCTTTTTCCTAGCTAACGCTGTTCTGGTTGGGCCGGACGAAGACGCGTAGGTTTATGTACTCCGCTCTTGTCTAGTGGGGACGGGATTGTTGAGGCGTGGGATTTTAGTCAAAAAGGGGGTTTTGGCCAGACACATCGTCCGCACATGCAAATTATTTGCAGTTTTTTATCAATTTCATTTCGAGATTTGATTCAATGACGTCCCCATCAGAGATTGCCGTGTTATGCAGGCTGCTTGTGGTGGCCCGGAAAATCAGAATCTCCGTGTCCCTCGGCTCTTTATTGGCCAGGGGTTGTTGGAGGGAGTAGAATGTTCTGATTGGCGCAACGGTAAATCCCGTTGCCCCACCCGTTTTCACGAGTCTTCTTCCTTAGCCCTCTACTTAGCCCACGCCTTGGCAGCGACGACCCAAGCCACCAAGCCTCAAATCCAGCGGCGAAGTCGGATTAGTCATGTACACAGGAAGAAGAATCCAGCTATTCCTCTCGTGGCGACAGGTGTCAGGTACCACGAAGCGGAATGGAAAGAGCTCCCGAACGAGCAAGTTGTCAATGAGCGAACATGCCAACATTTTAGGCTCATCGACTCGAGCATTTTAACTTTTAGCCATCCGTCCTTTCGTTCTCGGGTCCTCCGACCTTGAAGTTGTCCGCTCTTTTCTGTTGTTGACTCGTCGAAGAAAAATCACTACAGCGAGCTTTACCTGTGCCGTTGTTCGATTGCGTGTCATCGCCGGAGAAGTACACACACAATCTTCAAGCCACGGTATCCATCACCGACCAGCGATACACTCTCTAGCAACTCGAGCCTTTTCGATTTCCTATCCACCCTGGTAGCAACTTCCTTCTCCGGCCGCTTACGGAGACGTGGATGCAAACGAATTAAACCTCCCAAAGCTTATGTCGCACCCTGGCACAGCAACGCCGTCTTTTATCCAACTCATCACGAGACTTAAAACTGCGCAATCCTACCTTCACTGACCTCGAGCGTCACGATACTTCAACAGCCATCGCTTTGAATTCCCATCCATCATGGAGCCCGAGGAGGCTCCCCAGGCCGCCCACGATGCTCCCGACTCCGAGGCCCCAGTGCCCGCCGAGCAGCTCACTATCAACCTGAAGATCATCTCTCCAAATCTCACCCAGCCCCTCAGTCTTCCCGACCTACCTGTGACTACAACCGTTGTGCAGTTGAAGGAGAGGATACGGCAGCAGCTCCATAGCCGGCCGGCTGATCCTCAGCAGCGCCTAATTTACAGAGGTCGCATGCTGAACCGTCCCGAAGAGAAACTTCTGGACCTGTTTGGTGAAGAGATGGTAAGACTGCCAATATCCGGAACTTTGGTTAGCACTTGACAACATTGACTAACTGTTCATCTCCTACGTCTAGATCCGTACCTCCGACCAGCAGTCCATACATCTTATCCTCCCCGAGCAACTCGAAAGCCCATCACTCTCTTCCACAACGACGCCGGTTCGCGGTCAGAGCCCCGCGCCAGCGCAAGCGCCACGTGCTCAGGACGCCATCAACAATGCCCACCAGTATTTCGACTCCGTCTTCCAACAGAGTGCTCGTCACATGGCACGAAGATTACCTACTGTGACAACGACCGTGACTACACCGATCGGTGGACCTCAGCAAGCACCTGGCCATGCTGACCAACATGCCCACCACCCTAATCCTCATCCTGGTACATATAATGCCCACCCGACCGCTCCTCAGATGTACCGCAGTCAACACTCCCCCGCCTACACACAGAACCTCCAGCAATTCGCCCAACGCCTGAGCAGGGAAGCGGCATGGCATAGAGCGCATATGCAGTACGACCGCGCCGCGATGGGTATGGGTGGTCTTAGGTACAACAATCTTCCTCCTCAAGTGCCTGCTGTCAACACCCCAGAGGCCAGTGGCGCCCAGCGCCGCACCAGTCCGGTCCCGAATACCGACGGGCATCGAGTAAACGCAACCGAGCAGGGGCTCTCCGATTCCGAAGTACAGAATATCCTCCGAGGGGCGGACACGCGCCAGGCGATTCAAACCATGACAGCTGCCATGCAGAGAAGCACATCGGGTGCATCGATGGGCCTGCCCCAGAGCGGGAGGGCTACGCCGAATCAAACGTCCCGCACTCCCAGTGGCAGTACTAGCTCTGGTCTGTCTGGCGCTACGGAAGTCTACATCCTGAACTCGCCGAATGGGCCCCGCGGCCTGTTGATAAACAACCATTCCGAGACATACTATACACCATCCCTACGCCCGACGGCCACAACAACTGGTTCTTCTTACGGATTACCGCTCCCTCAGCTACGGAGGAACGTCACGTTCACCACGGACACCCACGCGCCAGCCGCAGCGTCGCAGCAGCAGCAACATAACCAGCCAAGAGAAGGACAGGGTCGAGTTCGGCGCCGAATGAGGGTTCAAGTTCATCGTGCGGGACGCATACCTGTTGGTGTCCGTCAAAACAATGCGGGCATGGTTGCGCTGATTGCCAGGCTGTGGCCCCATTTCTGGTTGGCGGTGAGGCTTGGACTGTTTGTGTGGTGGTTCACCTCGCCCACCTCCAGCTGGTCGAGGTGGATTGCCGTCATCGCGATTGCTATTTCGATCTTTGTACTGAACACTGGCGCCCTCGATGGATTCGCTGATCAACTGTGGAGGATCATATGCCGTCACATGGAGAACCTCATCCCCATGGCAGGTCCGGAGGCTGTCCAAGCCCTTCGCCGAGATGGTAACCAGAATCAAAACCAGAACCAGAACCCGAATGAGGCCGGGCACGCCGCTCCCACGCAGCAGAGAGGTGGTGGCGGAAACGGCGAGAACCCCGACCCCGCCACCATGGCTGCCCGGCTCGTCGAGCAACGCCGGGAAGCCAACGGCAACTGGCTCCTCAACCGCGTCCGTCGCGCCGAACGAGCTGGCTTGCTGTTCCTTGCTAGCATCGCCCCAGGTGTTGCCGAGCGTCATATTGCGAACCTTGAGGCAGAGGCGGGGCGGCAGCGTAGGGAGGCTGAAACTGAGGCAGCGGCTGAGGAGGCGAGACGCGCTGCTGAGAGCGAGGCTGCTGCGGAGGCTGGTGACGAGGCTTCGGGTGCTGAAGGATCGGGTGCCGCTGAAGGTGAAGGCAGTAGTGAAGAGGAGAATGTCCCTCAGGTCAATGTCGAGGGGCCTCCTCCACCTGCAGACGCACCAGCTCCACAGCCTGAACTCATCGCAGTTTGAATGTATCGATCACCTAACATCCGACCTAAAGGGATGGGCAGCAGGCAGTAGGAGAGTGTAGTTGCGGGCCTTCAAACCTCGAGAAGTGATCATCATCCCTCAGTCGTTTTACTTTTCTTCTTCCCTTTTTTTCCTCGTTTTTTTTTTTTTTTTTTTTTTTTCACGAACAGATTAAGGCTCAGGCCCTCGACAAAATCAAAGCAGAAGCGAGTCAAAGAGAGCTTTTTAGGCGTTTGGGGGGAAGCATTTGAATTTGACTTTGTTTTTTTTTCCCAATCCTATGTAGACGACTTGAAGATTGTGGTGGAGGAACATTAATGAACCAACACTGAAGTTTCTTTGCGAACGTCCTTTAGCGCTGTTCACTTGTGTACATAACTTCTCGGAATCTGTGATTAGCTTGATTCTATGTATAAAAAAAAGCTTGACTCTGGTGAATTCGAGGCTGAGGAGCCATGTGTGATTTTGTGACCTGACTTCACTTGGAGGACTATAATAGATAGGATGCAGCAGGGTAAGTTTCCGTTTGTGACTGACTACCGGTCTATAAAGCTCCATACAATCAAGCCCAAGAACCGAAATATGAGATGATCAAAAGACAAGAGATCCCTATGTTGACCTCTAAGATTATACAGCCTCTCCCTTGCTATGCCTTCCATCTCATCCTTCCATCTCAACATCTCCACCCTGTTTCCTCGCTGCCGTAATCTTCTGCATAGCCATCCACTCCGCCTCCCGCTTCGCCGTCGCATCCTTAATCCACTCATCAAACTTCCCCTCCGCAACCTTGGCCTTAACAACGCCCTTGAGCACCTCGCCCGCGAAACCGACAAAATTGTGTCTCCGTAGGGCATTCTCAAACATCCAGGCCTCGCGCTTCCTCTCCTCCGCCTCGAGGGTATCCACGTCTCCAATCTCCCGGGCCGCCAGCCGTCGATCCCTCACGACGGCGAGCAGATTAAAGCGTATCTCCGAGGCATCGTAGCGCGCGATGCGCCTCTGCAGCACGTCCATGACTTTCGCAGCGAAGGCCTCGGGCGCCGCGGCGCAATCGCCGTGCGAGATGGGCGCGGGCTGCAACCCGTCCAGCTCGTACAGCTTCCCATTGATGGGCAAATAGGCGATGAAATGAAACGCATCATCGGGCTCCCCCTCCTTTTGCGTCTCGTCGACAAAGGGACTACTCTTGGCGAAGCTATTATGCACCTCCCTGATAAGCTCGGAATTGCTCAGCGCCTCGCCACGGATATCCGGCGGCAACACGCCCGCGAATTCTTTGAACTCGGCGAGCTGCGTGCCGACGTCGATCTCGGGCCGGTTGAGCACGACGCTGAGGAGGGCTTGCGTGCCGCAGGCGTTTTGGATCGTCTGGTGGGCGAAGAAGATTTCCTCGGAGGCGGCATGGTCGTAGGTCCCGTCGTGAGGGGCAGAGGCCCCCATGTAAGGGCGGTCGGTGGGGAATTTGAAGAGGAAGATTACGCCGTAGACTGGGTGAAGGGCGGAGAGGTAGGAGGGGTCGAGGGAGAGGAGTTCTTCGAATTGGACGTCTTTTACGCCGAGGTTTTCGAGGAGGTATGTGAAGACGCCCTGGAGAGGAGAGCATTGTTAGCTGTTGGTTTCTTCTTCTTTTTACTTTGTTCTTTTCTTCTTCTTTTTTTTTTTTTTCTCTCTCTCTCTGAAGAATAGCGGCGAGCTGTATCTGACGAGCTTCGAAGGTCTTCGGGGAAGGGTAAAGATGGCAAACAAGTGGAATCACACATACCGCATCGGACTCGACTGTAGCAGAGATTATCGGTCAGTATACCTCAGTAAATAGATAGGCGCCAGAGCTGTATCTGGGGAAGAACGAGCTCAAGTCAGGTACTCACTTGTATTCCAACCTCCACTCATCCTTCTGTGATGTTTAATAGTTCTGCGGGAGAAACGTGGAGTGATGTAGCGCGGTGGTATGTGGTGGGGTGTGGCTCTGGTCAGTCGAGCTCAGTCTGCTGCGCAAATTTGCAGGTTGGGGAGCTTTCAATGTTGTTCTTGGAGAGCTTCGCAGTTCAGCAAGGTCTGGTGTGTTTGATTTTAGGTAGGAGCTGACGTTGCTCTGGGCGGTTGCTTTGGGGCGGTTTCTAAAGCTATGGTCCCATTTGTCACTTGTCACTTTTTCTTGAACCTCTGTGCGAGACATGGGACGCTAAGCATTAATCCGTAAAGTGATATACCGCTAAAAAGGGGGCAATCCAGTTGTCGGGATGTTCGATTCAAGACGGAAAATAATTGTGCCAACAGTCTTTTTTCAAAATATTTCCCAGATTTTAGTATTTTGGAAAGTCAATTCCCAAGCTCTTGCCGAAGAAAGTGTACTCGGTCTCATCGTCGCAAAGCGAACCGGACGAGGCTGTCCTGGCGCTTGTGTCCTCTTCGTATACTTTCACTTTCTGCTTATTGTTCCTGTTCTTCGAGATCTGACAACCAATCCTCTCCCAGGGTTGAAGCTCAGCTCTCTTTTTCCCACGTGCTCCTTCTTTTCCTTTCTCGCTTCTTCAGGGTATCCGTCTGCACTAGCACTTTACTATCCCAGAGTTGTCTGGGGCGCTGAGGGATGGGCGGAGCTATTGAGCAATGCTTTCCAAGGTTGCACTCCATCAGGCCGGGATCGGGATAGCGTGGGGGAACGCGAGCTTTTTCACACCCTGCTCTACGAAGTATAACCTTATCAATCAATATCCATCATTAATCTTCTTTCCTCTTACCTTTAAATCACCGATGCTGCCTGTCAAATCCTAGCCTCCAACTTCACAAACTAAAGAATTCCTCGTCTCTCCTCAGTTCCCAGCGTTGAGCCTGTGTCCTGGCCGTTCCTGTTCCTCATCTCATCCTCCTACGCTAGTTGCTGAGCCAAGCCGGTTCGCGTCCGAGCTTTGATACGACAATCCCGTATCGCTGTGATCTTCATATCAAAAAGACTGAGTAGAAAGCACTTGAAGACAACACCCGCACAATAGACCAAAACCCCCCATCCGCTCCTCCTCGGATCTCCTCATTGTCTTCAGCCGCTACCTCCAAAAGAAACAAAGGGCACAAAAAAAAATGGATAATCCAATAGCCGCAAACATCCTAGGAACCGCCGGCGCAGTCTGCTGGTCCATCCAGGTCCGTCCACCCACGATGATCACCACCACATCACTCCCTCCCTAAGAAAGAAAGGGAACAACCAAAACTTATACAACCCCCCACCACAGCTCATCCCCCAAATCATCAAAAACTACCGCCTCCATAGCACCAAGGGCCTCCATCACACAATGTACATATCCTGGGCCATTGCCGGCATCCCCCTCGGCGTCTACAACCTCGCCCAAGACCTCAACGTAGCCCTCCAAGTCCAGCCCAACATCCTCATCTTTCTCAGCCTCGTCGCCTGGGCCCAGTGCAAATACTACGGCGATCGTTGGCGCTTACCCCGCGTGCTGCTCGCCACGGCCCTGGTCGGCGCTTTGATCGGCGGCGTGGAGGCCGGGTTGTATTTCGCGCTGAGGTTAGGAAAGAGGAGGGGGGTCGAGTGGCCTTTGACGTTGATGGCTGTGTTGGCTGCGCTGTTGCTTGCCGTTGGCGTGTTACGGTATTATTGGGAGATTTATCGGGCGAGGTCCGTTCAGGGTATTTCGTACTTGTTTGTCTCTATCGATGCTGGTGGGGACCTTGTTTCCATTCTTGCTATCTTGTTTAGCCCGCGGATTGATGTTGTGGGTATCGTCGTCTACTCGGTCGAGTTGGTACTTTGGATCGGGATTGGACTCTTGGGCGTTCATTATAGGCTGCGGGTGTGGATATGCAAGAAGCTGTCGAAAGAAGAAGAAGGAGGAGAAAACAGTTGAATCGAAACAAATCCATCTCCATCAGTGACGCCGATTCCCTACCTCCGCTATGAGTAGTACCACGAAAGCCTACCAGGCCGGGGTCGATGTAACAAGGAACCTAAACGAAGCACGAAATCGACACATATTAAAGACTCACGACCCAGAGAGGAGACATGCCGGATTCTCATCCCCCCAAGTCTGTCAAACTGTGAGACCAGGATATGGTATATCATCTACCCTGTACCTCCAGAAGCCAGCCAGGACTGGTATCGGTAGACCATTAACTCGAACCACTCAGGTCAATCATTTGCACTCGAGCAACCATCAGCATCACACAAAACGTCCTTTCTCCAGGTTGCTCATTCCATAATGCATTTTGCTCCCTACTTATTGATGCCATGCCAAAGTAACTACCACCTTCACAATCCAATGGCCGATCCAAATTCGGCCGTATAAAAACACCTGCGGATCAAATCCTAGGCCTCTTGAGCAAATTCGCTCTGTCCAGCGGCATACATCCCTTCGTAGAAACATTTTCGTATGATCCATAATTCGTCCCGGCTCCCAGAGCTAGAAGAGGGCGCACATTCCATATTCCACACCAGCCGCGAACTTCGCGTCACTCTCAGTTACAAATACATTTCATAAAACATATAACCTCACACTTGACCTTTGCTGCAAGGTTTCGGCTCAAGAACTTTTGACCGTGAAATCTTGGCAAAAAAATGCCAATTTCCCATCAATCCTTTGTTGAGGGAGATCGCGTCATGAATGCCTGCGGAGGGGAGGCAACGCTCATGCTGGCCTTGCCTTCCGACGCCGAATTCTGACAAGACAGGTCAACCGAGCTTTGTCCGTCTCCAAGATTCAGACCTCGTTTGCTCTGACTCGCCGGGTCGACATTCTCGCGGCGCATCCGGCGTCTATTCATCGCGCGTACGAACCATGGTTGTTGTCCTGGTCCTTTCCATGTCCAATACTCCTTGAGGTCATACTCGCGTGGTTCTAGTCGGCCTCGAGAAATCCACACGACGGCCCCAATGGTAAGATTAAGAGCGGCGTATACGAACAAACCCCTGTGCGAGACATGTTAGTATTGTGTATGCGTGATATAGAATTTTTGACAATATGAGAATAACCTACGCAATGAGTCCATAAGCCACGCTGTAACTGAACGGAATGAAGGCCATGACAACGAATGACGGGATTGCATCTCCCACGTATCTCCAGTTGATGGCGGTTATTTGACGAATCATCATGCAGCCAACCTACAGACATTCAGTCAGTGAGTGTTACCTTTCTTATATAATTGAGCTGAGAGATATTCTTACCAACATCAGGGTGCATCCGGTGGCCCACGGGGGAATGGACGCAAAGATTGGGGCAAAGAAGATTGAGATCAGGAAGCATAGTCCCGTTGTCATCGAGGTCAACCCAGTCCTGCCACCTTCGGCAATGCCGGCTCCGCTCTCGATAAAGGCTGTGACCGGAGAACATCCAAAGAGTGAGGCTAGGGAGATGCACGATGCATCTGTGCAATAGGCGAGAGTGGATCTTGGGAAGTCTCCATCACTAGGGTCAACTACACCACAGAACCTCACCATCGAGTAGAGCGTCGCCGTGGCGTCGATGATATCCACGTAAAGGAATGTAAACAGGGCAAGAACAAAGTGCGAGCCCTTGGACGTGATATCCCAGTCGAGCTGACCCAAGGTGTGCTGAATCGGATGTAACTCAGTAACCTTTTTGAAGAACTCAAAGCGCGAGTTACCATCTGGTGTATCAGGGAAGTATGTGATTGATGTATTTCGCCTAGTGTTCATCCCCGTTGTTAGTCTTGTTGTTAGTCTTGTGTGATTAGGGGATGCCATCTTGAGATTTTCTTTACTTACGGCCATGAGAGGATTGAGACAAAGGCAATTCCAAGAACAAGGGCATATTTAACTCGGAACGCCATGAGGAAAGAGCTTAGAACACCTCCTCCGAGCACGCCAACCCAGAGCTATAGAAGGTTAGTAACTGAGCTTTCTCAATTCCAATAACATGCGATGAACTCACCTTAGGGTTGGTCATCAAGCCTCCATCACACATGCCCGTTTCCGCGTTGATCTGCTCCGGGCGACATCCCGCCAGGGCGAGGGGAGTGGCATGCCATCCACCAGTGATTGCACCGATGCCTGCCGAGTACGAAAGACCAATCTCGGTTAGGAACATGCCAATTCCGACCCCGGTCGCTGTCTTTATCGTCGCCGGTATGAGCTTGACGAGCCATTGCCGCATCCCAGTTAGGGCAAGGAAGATGAAGACCAAGCCTTCTACAAACACGGCAGTCAAGGCCAACCTGTACGGGATTGTTCCGGAGCCGTTGGCCCCGACGACCTGGAAGGCGAAATAGGCGTTGAGACCCATGCCCGGTCTATATTCGGGTTTGCCTATTAGTCCAGAAAACTCGAACTGACTGGGCCCTGGAGCAGCAAACTTACCCGAGAGCGACAGGGAGGTTTGTCAAAAATCCGAATAGAAAGCTCGAGAAGCCGGCAACAGCGGCGGTTGCTGTGATGAGGTCTCTCCTTACCTCTGAAAGGTCACAATTACCAGGTTAGTCTTCCGAATATCGAGGCAGATATGATGGGGTTCTTCACCTTCTTTGCAAGCGCTATACGATTCTATCTCATCGCAATCCAACCTGTTGGTCAAGTCGCACTCACAGGTTCCACCAGTTTGCGAGAGGATGGCGGCCTGGGAGGGAATGCCTGTCAGTTATCTTCCAATACCGTCTACTTAGGGGTTGCCCGTAGTTCAGTGATTCAAGGAGGAATCCATACATTGACGGCTATGATGTACGCCATTGTTGCGAAAGTCGTTATTCCCGCCCGGATCTCTGCGAGAAATGTGGCAGTTGGGATTTCCTTGGGCTAGGTAAAGATAATACAGTTAGCTCCAAGGAACACAGTAATGTCCGTCGTGATTGCAGCAGTTCACTCACATGTCCAGAACCTCTAAGTCTAAAGATTCGACCAAAAGTAGAAGACGACACGGTATCGTCGAGCGCCATGATAGAACGGACCCATCCACGGAACTTTTCCTTAAGGCTCGCCATTAGAGGAAGCGGCTCCTGGGGCGGTTCTGTGTGCTCCATTTGTTCCATCTCGCAGGTTCTTGGCTGTATATAACGTCTGATATACAGCGTACAGCTCGGTATTTATTTGAAACAATAGGGGACCTGGGAGAGAGGGAAATTTAGATTAAAACGGATTAGAGCTGAAGTATTCGGCAGCTCTCACCTCCGCCACGGCCGCGCTGTCGTGTTGTCTGGGCTGTTATGAAGGAAACGAATCCAAAAGAAGTAGGATAACGCCAAGCAGAGCGGGCTTCTCCAGCCGTAAAGCGGGTAGAGGAGGGGGATAGAGGTGGAGGGTAGTCGGCGAGGATTCCAATGCTTCGATAGGAAGAACCAGTTTGAACAATACCGGAATCTTGAAGGCTGCCAAATCTGGAGGGGTACCCAATTTGATAAACCCTTCGGCGGTGGCGGCAGCACACAAGCGTCGAAGAAGCAAGTCAATCAGGGGATCGGCATTGACAGAGACCGGCCACTTCTGGAGGGGTTGGCAGGTGGGGACGACAAGTGAAAACTTGGGGGATGGAGATGTGATGCAGATATGCAAGAGGATAGACGTGGCCAAGAAAGGGGTCAAGGAACCTTTCTTCCTGGCACCAACCTGTGAAGTGTGAAGCGAGAAACTTGCTTATTCTTGAAGAGGGCAATGATGGGCGGGCACGCTTCACGGTTGGGTGCTGACGTAGAAATCAACTGTCGTGTCAAGGAAGTCTGGAACGATCAGAGAACTTTGTCAGGAAGCAGGAAAAGGAATCATGAGGTGGTGGAGGGATGAAAGGATACAGTTGATCTTTATGATCAAATTTTTATGAAAGAGGATATGTGCCCCCGGGGTAGGGTTTGAATCAGATGAAGTAAACACTTCAAAATGAAATGTAGAAATTGATCAAGAAAGCATCAATAGAGGCAAGTATCCCTGGGTGGAAGGAACAATCCTTGTGAGTAATGAAAAGGCAACTCCTACACCTTGAACATCAAAGTAGGTCCCAAGAAATGGGAAAGATCAATGGGAGACAGGAGGCATGGACCCCGGCTCCGCCTTCCTTCTATCTTCATGCGAGGGCTAGCCCAAGCCAGGTCCTATCGCGCCTTCTCTACTTCATAGATGCAGACTCGGAGAAGGAGACTCGAAAAAAATACTTTTCAACTATGCATCCTGACGTCCTGCGCCTTCCCTGGTCTGAGCTGGTTCGGTCCCGGTCAGCGAGGGAAAGAGTACCCGCTCATGTACATGGATCCTCGAGAGAAATTGATGTATTTTTTTAGTAGACGGTAAGGCACATATCCGACGTGATCCTTCGATTTTAAACCTTTCATGTCTATTGTTTCATGGGCTACTCGATCTGATAGTCTCATCCACAATGGGCTATTATACACCAGGCCCTCAGCTTTGGCTTCTTCTTCGTCGGCACTCCACGCGAGGGTGCCTCCCCGGCCTCAATAGCGCCTTCAGATGTCGGGACGAGCGACACTAACAGTTTAGTGAGGAAGCCATTAAACCTCGGCCAAGATAGGATATATTGTACGAAGTAATATGAAAGATGTTTGTTGCTGCTGGAAAATCCCACGCGATGGCTAATGGGCATCATCCTTGGGAAGCCACCCGGAAAAGCGAGGGTCTCATCAAGGGTGGTGCTTGAAGAAAGTGCTGCAGTCGTGATGTCTTTCATGGACGTCGGGTCGGGAAAAATGAGAAAACCGGGGGGGAATTACCAATAATGGCACTGGCCCGGACATCTTGGCGATGTTAGCTAGCTCAGGGCTTTCCGGGACCGGGTCTATGGATACTGCTGCTCGATGCCTGGTTGTTTTCAGTCCCTGAACCTTGTGTTTTTTTTCTGGTTCTGAGGAAGCAATATAATTTAGCCAGCTCCTTCCCTGATCCGAATCTTCCTAG